ATTAACATTGGTATACATCAATAATAACTAGGTATAATTATATATTTAAAAAATAAAAGAAAACTCAAAAATTTAAAAGAGCCAAGTACTTATATAGTTATGCGTATGTAACTTACATTAACTATACTGTCTTAATTGTGAATTCTTATTTTTACTATTTATTTAAAGTTATTAATTATTATATAAAATATATAATCACGCACGCTTATTTATAAAATAAGCCATTATGAAATTTTACATATTATGTATATTTGAATAATAATAATTTATGTTTTCAAAGTGCGATATTTGACGTGGTTTTAATTATTACCAAAATAGAGAAAATAATGACTTGAATAAACAAATTGTGCAATTTATCATTCATTATTATTTGTATATAATACTCGTATGTAATATGTATGTATAATATAATAATATATTATGTATTAATAGTGCTTTATTTATATCAATTTTGGGTAGTCCAACATGCAACAACTATGTTATGTCTATGTAACCATTATAAAACTATGTTTTCATCAACTTAATATTTTATACTAAATTCGCATTTTTTGTTTGATTTTTAAATAAATCATAATCATGGAAATAATCATTAAATAAAATAAAAATATTTGAAAACTATTACAAAAGTAAATTACCAAAACAAAACTTTAAAAGTATAACAGTTTAAATTTATTTTTGTTGAACATATATTTTAAATATTCAATAAACAGAAGCTAACACAAAGCAATCTTTAAATAGAACAAAATATGTCTATTATTCAAAAAATATATGGTAATTTTAATACCTACATTTAAAAATTACAAAAATCAGATTTTGAATAACTGCAATATTAAAGAAAAAAGGAGTTTGAATTGGAAAAAGTGAATTACTCTGTATATGCGATATAACAATATTTATCTATGTGTATATATATATACTAGTAATTGTGTACTTAAGTATATTATATACAATTGCAAATGTCTGTGTTTACTCTTCATGTGTATATAGTGTTATAGTTAATACTATTGATTATGTAATAACATAAGTAATAATTTATAATATTTGACGGCAAATTTGATTCTCAAAAAGAACAATAACAATAACATATACGTAATATGAAAAATATCCGATAAATTTGTTAATGATTGTTATGAATATTTTTGAATTATTTTTTAACTGTAATAATTAAAACAACACGACTTACGCGAGACGACGGCAATTGTTGTGCAAATATAATACGTAAAAAATATATACCCGAATTTAAATAATATTTCAGTATCATATTCAATTACACTCTTTGATGTTTTCAGAGCCATAATCCAAAGTCGCGTGGCTTGGGAAAGCTATGAAAAACATCGTATTAATATTATTATTATAGTCTATAACAGCACTTTTTTTTTTTTTTTGATAAATATAAAACCATATTTTGTGTGCTGATTTAAAGAAAATGAATTAATGAAAAAAATGAATATGAGTTAGTTAAGTAAAGAAAGTTTAGTAGAAATTAACAAATAATATAATATCCGATTCTAAGAGTTTAAAACAATAAACTCAATCACACAACGATCATAGTATGCAACATGCTTATACTTTTTAAATAATAAATAACCGTTTTCTTAAAATATATTCATCCTACTTAACACATACTTACTCTATAGTAAAATTGTTAGGTAATCACAATATGTTTCTGTCTACCAAGTTATTGAATCGATAAATATTTATTTTTATGTCATGGGCACAATGGACTGCGCGTGGGCCATACCTTGATATAGGTTGCCAAATGACGACGTTATTAGAAAAAAATAGTCAATACCAGTAGCGAAACATCATAGGAAACAATGATATAATGTCTACCCACTTGAATACGGATAAGTAATTTTGAATTATATTTAAATAAAATATTTTTTTACCAATCTTGATTGTTATAGAACAAAATAAATTCTAAGCCACACGCGTCAACCATTCCATCGAGTAAACATCCAAATATAGTGAAAAAAATAAACATGAGACAACGTTGAATCCATCTCATTCTGTCAGATGCAATTTGCAAGGAAAATAGAAAAAGCGCGAAAGACAAATATCGTTGCGCTATGAAACATGTCTCGTCGTTCATATATTTCAATATTTGTTTTATCTTATTTTTAAGTATATAACCGTTATTTACTCAGTTATCCACGTCGCATCATCTACGGCTGCAAATGTATTATGGTAGTTAGTTCTTAGTTTACTGTTAGTTTATTTATTGTGTGATAATGTATAAATATTAGTATCAACAATATTGATATTATTTATTATTATTTTTTCATTTACGTTTCCTTGACTTAACGACTCACAGCTGCTCGCAAGTTGCCACTGGTAAATGCATGTAAACATAATGTCTGTACTATATTTTTTTTTAAATTTTTTTTATCTTTATTCTTGAACTTCTTTATCTCTTACTTTCGCTATTAGTGGCTATTAGTGGATTATTGCTATATTTTTAAGACGATTTTGGCCCCTAAACTTTTGTCACTTTTATCCAATTATTTATAGATACAACCTCGTTTAAGAAAATAAACTTCATTCATTTTGAATTATTACCATGATTATACATAATTAAGGTATAAAAACTATAAACATTGTCTTAACCTATTATATTATTTTTCTGATAAATTGAAAAAATCAATAATGGTCATTCAGACTAAAGAAAACTTTTAATTAAATTAACTATAATTTACATTTATTAATATAATATAATGCATTACACAATTAAATTTTTAACATAAAACACACATTTCTTTATTTGTATACCCATTTAATTAAAAATTTTAAATATTTTAACTTCGTTAAAAAATACCGTTAACATAAAAAGGATTCCAATTTTTTTTTTTTTATTCAAAACCACTGTTATAAATACTATTGTAACTATTGTCTTCTTTCATAAGAAAAATAATTATTGCTAACTACATAAGTACGTGTCCAGTTTTTAAATACGTGACGATGATTTATTTTTGACATCATTTTGTATAACTACTATAAGCAAACTTCTATCACCCAAAATTGATTTACGCAAATTTTTACCTAAAAATTTGCTAACAGATTCAATAATCATCTTCTAAAATATAAACATATCAGAAATTATCTATAGAATTATCGTTTAAAATTAATTTTTGTAAATATTATCACATTTAAATTAAAATTCGAATTAGTTGTTTCCGATAGTTATTAAACATTATGTAAGTACCTACCGTTTAAGAATAATATATATTCTCGATAATAGGTTTGGAAAGTATGGGGGCTATGATGATTTTAAAATTATTACTATTAATATAAATAAAATATTATAAATCTATCAACGCATTAAAATTTTAAAAATAGTTCTAGTATATAGCAAATAATAATACATCTGTTTTATATATTTGCAACTTTAACTTATTACGTACGTATGAACATTGTTAAATAATTCAAAAACAAAAAAATATCTACCTGTTGAATATTTAAAAATAAATAAGGTGGGTTGTCTTATGAAAAACAAAAGTTTGAACCACCGCAGAACATTCCTTAAGTGGTATTACATTACATATTTTTGACAACGACGGTCAAACTATTCGCACGCGCATAGAAAGCGTTAGTCGTAGTATACCTAGCTATAACCCAGACTTTATAATAAATTGCAAAAAACAAAACAACAATACCCACAAATATTACGGTATTATTATTTATCGTTGTAATATATTATTATTATCTCGTGTGGAGAAAAAATTATGCACGTCGACATTTGCTCGTATGATACCTTATAATGATACTACCGTATAAAAATAATACAATATAATATAATAATATTATAATTTATAATAAATAAACGTCGAGGCGACGGATGCCCGCGGCGCGCTAAACGCGATTCAACAACGATACTGCAAGTTCGCAATACAACATTTACAACAATAATATGTATTATACGCGAGATCCACAATATAGGTATTAGAGATACAAATTATTCGCAATTTTTTTTTTTTACGTTTTTTGTTATTGTAATTATTAACATTGTGTACAAATACGACGATCACATTGTGTTTTTTACGCGTCTGATCCCCACAATCACTATAATATTATCATAGTATTATACCCACAATATAGTAATAATTTATGATTAATATATAGGCAATGGCTTTAGCACGTACCTACAACTTCTGTCTCGATGATTTAAATTTTAAAACATCCCGCGGCCAACGCGTTTTTTATATCTCCCCACGCGAAAATAGTCGTGTGTCGTGTCGCGGTTTTACCTTTCCGTATGTACACCTGTATAACCTGCAGCAATAGAAGACGGTACGGTTCTAAGATACTATCGCAATATGCGTTTCTTATTACAATAATGTGATATAATGTACAACAGAGTGATTATTTTACGGTGTGCCTGCAGGCTATATAATATACCTGTAAAAAATGAAGATTTTTTTAGTACATAGAAGGGACAAGACTAAGTATACCTATTAATTAGTTAATGATCGATAGTGTTTGCGCCGGTATCCATTCATATAATTATAACAATACACGATATTATGTACATAATAAACTAACATTATTATTACTGCCAGTGTGCGATTTTTAGTGAAATATTAATATTGTCCACAATGCCGCCACCATTTATCCGCCCATCTATTTAGCAGCTTTTATTAGTCGACAATTCTGAGTCGCTACTGCACTTTTATCACTTATTTGTCTTCCCTCCAACTCGTGCAGACAATAATAAATAATAATATTGAGCTATAGGCACTTTGACAGAACTAATGATTTAGATTAAGTTCAAATTTGCATAATAATTCAACGATAGGTACTTCTGATAGACATCCGGAAATAAGTAAAACAAATTATATGATGTTTTAGATTGTAGTAAAATCAATGCCTAATGTCTAATGTCTTCCTTTCCCTCCCCCCCAAAAAAACTACAATATATAAGTAATACGTCATTATGTCATTATGTACATCACAATATGTAATTATAAATAAATAAAAAAAATATAGTTCATAAACAGTATAAGTTAAGTATTATATTTTCTCAGTATGAATATTGATACACTCGATAGATTAATTTTAAATATTTTTAACCTGATATACTTATTATTTTATGTGAAAGAAGTTCAAACTTAATTTAATTGTAAACAAATATTAAATCATGATTAAATTTTTTCGACTAATTTTTGTGTGCTAAATGAATGAATTAATTTACTTATGAAATATCAATTTTGGTGCCATTCAATGTGTATGAAGCATTTTCTTGGAACGAACGATTCGCTGTGTTACAGAAATCGCCGATGTCCGCCATTGCGGCTACAACGAAATCTTCAATATGGCACTCGTTGGTTCCTTTCAGTATCCGGAAATATCCGTTTTCACCCCACCAACGTCCCCATGAGTTTGAAACGATCTAAAATAACAATTAACAACAATGAAAATTCTTATTGGTACATATTGTTGACTTGTATGTTATTAAAAACGTATGTATATGTTACGTAATTTTTAACAAACCGATAAAATATTACGATCTGACAATATTTCATCGGCTAATGAAATATCTCAAATATCATATTATCATAAATATTTATTATGATTTCCGTACACCATTCATCTATTATGTATAGATATTAATATAATTTTTTTATTAATTTGACTATTCGTATTGAATTCATTTAAAGTTCATCGTATATCAGTATATCATATAATATACTTATAGTGTATACCTACCCAATATTTTACTGTTTTTCCATTCTGTTGTTCTTCGCCCCAGCCAACAATCCTTACAGTGTGATATCCTGTTTTTAACCCCTCGGTCACATTCGAACATCTGTACACGCCCGACTCGTACATGAAAAATTCTTTGGACACTTTCATCATGGCTTTAAATATAACAATAATGATATTACAGTTAATTGTATATACACGTACAAGTCACGCAATATGACCGTACGAATCCAAGTAAGCGTTCGAGTGCATCGGTTTCCGGTAAAATAATTTGAAATGCATAATATGACGTGGCACTATGGCAGCACTATAACAATGGTACGATAAATTACGGTACACACCTTGGACTGATCCCCAATTCATTATCTCATTCATAATACCCTCTTCTGTGGTCACTCTGTACATCAAACCGACTCGCCTGACTTGAACAGTTTTGGACGAACGCGGACATGACACGATCAAGTCATTGCTGCTCCTCTTATTGGTCACCGCACAACCTGCCGTCCGACCATCCCACGGGTAACATTGTTCTGTGACGAGTCTGCCAAGCATATTTGTAAAGAATAAATAGGTACGATCGAATCCTAAACTGTTAAACTTTCTACTCACCCAAATTTCCTAATCCAATTCCAAGCACTGGTCAAATGGCCGCCTTGGCATCCTTGCTGTTGGTCGAGATTGTTACAGGACAACAGATGTTTCGGTGACAGCGCATCAACCATCAATCCTCTGGTCAGCATAACAAAACGGTCGGTGATTACTTGAACTGTGCTTATGGCCCAGGACGCACCACACCAACCCTGATCTATAGGATCGGTAATGCTTTCGCCCCAAACTTTGCGTAGATCGAAAGATGACTTTAAATTATCTCTATGAAACACTGCTTTCAAAGGTACAATTTGTAAAATCTGGATAAAAACACATTTAAAAATCACAATAAAAAATTCAAACGAACGAAAAATTATATATTATTTGTGCCGACGTATATTGCAATTTACAAAAACGTTAACCAATAGGTGAGATATTATATTGCAGCAAAAAATGTATGGTGGAAACGTTTTAAAAATATTTTATGATTGCCATGTAATTATTCTTAAAATGTTTTAAAAAAGGTAAATGTTGTAAAAATATAATGTAATTTATTAATACTGTCGACTTTAAATGTACAATATTTATAACTTATAAATAGTACGGTAACTATATCCTTAACACACATTACAACAGATTTATTTTGCATCTAAAAATATAATTATGAAATAAATATATTTATTAAATCCTGACAATAAAGTGTAGGTACAGTAAGTAGCAAATTATTTCTATTTATTAATCTTATTGTTACATAATAATAATTAACATAATACATGTTAATTAAAATATATTATATTAGTAAATACCTCAACATTTAAAAAAAAATATTACTTTACAGTCTCACAATAATTTATTTCAAAAACATTTACATGTACCTCCCTACATTGCCGATATAGCTGAATTTCAACTATTTAAAAACGTAGTTTTTCTGAGTAGTTTTCTACGTTAAACAAGTTAACGTATACTAAAACATTATACCTGATCATTGATCACTAAATCGAATTATCGTAAAAACATGATAAGTATGATTTTCTATAAACGAATACATACCTTTTCTGGTGATTGCAGTGTACCTAGTCGCCATTTAAGTCCGTCGTCATATGTTTTGCCCCAAAATTCACTGTAATTTCTGGCCGACCACCCAAATTTACGGCTTTGGATTTTAATCGTGTTTAAGAGTGTCGGATCAATAAGACATTCGTTTTCATTACATATCAGCGTCGTGTTTTTATTAGTTTTTAGACATCGGCTACGATAAGGTATTAAAAATTAAAACTAGATAATATTATAGAAAAATCAAAAAATCTTTGAGATGTATGTGTAAATGTCTTTTATCCAAAACCGTTTTTTATTTTCAATAAAATTTCTAAATTAGACTTAGTTAGTTAAGATGGCAAGTATGAAAAAATTAATATGTATAAAAACAAACTCACCATTCATTGCAATTGATATTTACCACTTCACCAAGACTACATTTTGCTAGAAAAAAATATAATACATTAGTAAAATAAATAATAATATAATTTTATTAGTTAATGGATTAAAGCGTTTCGATCAATTATTTCATTATAGACTTCAAGTGGGATTTTCTGGAATAGCTAACAGAGGACATCCTGGTCTTGCATCGATGTTTTGTGTGATTTTAGTACTCTTCATGAATTTAGTTTAAAATAATGTTACTATTTTACATAGATACACATAGACATAACACTTAGCAATACATTTTGATATGTAATTGGCTACTAAAAATAGACGTAGAGTGATCAAATTTTTTGTGGAGGGCTATAGCCCTCCTAGAAGTAGACATGTACCAATTCGTGGAGGACTTCGTCTGCATTTTGGGGTGGGGGTATTTTCCGAACTGAGGAGTCCCCCTAAATACACCTAAAAACTACTTCTAGTCTTCAACTTTAATAATATATAATATATTATATGATATATACCTAATTATTATTAATAAATAATTTATCAATTACCACTATATTAATAAGCATAAGTTGGTATCCATTTTTTCATATATTTATCTATATTAATAAATATTTAATCAATGTTACCTTATTCAATCATATATTATTAAAGTAAAAAATTATATCCATGGTTGGTGATAGTTTGTATATTTGTTTTTAACCAGAAGTATCCAAGGTCATTATTTAGGGCCCGAATTTATATGCATTTGCATGTTTTTTTCTGAACAATCCAAAAAATAGCTAGGTAAGCTTCAAGTTTGATTTGTAGTCAATAGATCCAAAATTTAAAGTTTAATTTTTCATATTTTTGTATATTTTGTCATTTTTTGACATGTACTGTATATTTCTATATTTTACGATTTTTATTGCACAATATATACGGTTTTTAAATGCATAATATGTAATATTTAACTTATTTTAATTAAAATAACATATTTATAGTTATATTTATAGTCCATGTAATTTGACGAAGTCATTTTCCTATCTTATCTTAGACCTATTGGGACAAGTAGTACTATCTGTTATTGAGTAAGTTTTAGTGAATCATTCATTAGTCGCGTTAAGCGTGATCTGAGTGCGCGTAACTTTCATTCGATTTTATTTATGTATATTTAATGAAAAAAAAAACTCTTTTTAATCGATTTTTTTGCATATTTTTTATTTTATAGGGTATATTTTATATTTCTATAAAATAAGAGCATAAAATGCATATTTCTGAGGTTTTTAAAGCATATAAATCCTGGCCCTAATCATTAAGATGCAGCAGGGATTAGTAAGGAAAAATAAGCATTATGCAATTAAAGTAAAAGATGCATCATTTTTATCATAATAGTATTAAAACATAGATTATCATTTCTAAGTAGTTGTACCGCATTGGTAGTATCCATTTACTCATATTATAAATATAATAGGTACAAATGTACTATGCAATATACGACAGCGTCTGGACCCGTGGTGTATTCAGGACTTAGCAGACAGGAGTAATATTATAATATACCCCCACCAAATTTCTTATTCCATAATAAATCTTACTAACATCATGATAAATATTCAATTAAGTTTATTAATTGTTAATCGTTTAAAATGATTATAAAATAAACAGAAAAATGTCAATAAAATGGAGAATCTTAATTTAATTTTTTTTTAAATTTTATTAAAGAACATTGCTAAACGTCTCCCGTTATTGTTTCATCAATAATTATTACTATATTTATTAAATTTTAGATAACAACTATAATTTATTTAATCCAATAACGTCAAAAATTAAAAAATAACGTATGTTTAAGTATAAAATTGTTTTTGTTTGAATTTTAAACAAGTTTATTGTTTTGTTCACTGCAGTTTAATAGTATGACTTATACCGATTATTTTACTATAGTCAAATGATTTATTGTATGTTTATTATGTTATAATTATTACCACTAAAGTTTTATTTTTTTAGATTATGTACAATTTATTATGAAGTTAAGAGGAATATAAAAATAAACTCTTAATTTTCGTAATTCAATGTCAGAGCTATTTATCAGTTTTTTGTTGTTTATCTATGGTGAGGAGGTGAAGTCTCCCATACGGATCTGTTATTAATCATAAGCAAAATCCCTGAGAGAATTAAAATCCTGAGTACGCTACTGTGTCTGGATCATTATGTAGTTAATAATATTAAGGTGAAAACTACTCACGTTGGGCGGTTAGCGGATCAGGAACGGGCGGTTCGACGCCTTTGCAGAACGACATAAAGTCGGGACAACAATCTTCTGATCCGGTGCGGTTGACGTAGCAGAAATCGTCACAATAACACAACGTGCCCAATATCGGTGCGGAGCAACCTTCGTCACGCCTCTCGGTGCAGCATCCCACTTTGGCACAAAATTCTCCTGCCAAGTCGTCGGGGATGTCTGTGCCGGCCGTCACGATTTGCATGGTACACGTAAACATCAGTACCGCTGCTGAAGCCACCGCGAAAATCCGGTTGTAGTTCCGGTACCCAGTTGTCATCTGACAAAAACAAATACAATTATTTTGGCGTTTTTGAATGGACGGCAATAATTGCGATTCCATACATTTTTTCTGCTGGTAAAATTTAAGAACTACCCGTCCATAATATCAATTAGAGAAACTGGACTCAATTTACATCCTATAACGAATAGGTATTTATTTGGATATATTATGCGTGTTAAGTTAGTTAAACGTGTTAAAAATTATAATGTCTATAAAAAGTTGTATGGAAAATTTACTAAGCGAAAACAATTTCGTTATTTTAAAGAGTACTGAGAATTTTTCACTTTTGAATTGCCCTTGAAAATATCGAATAACAATTTGTAAAATTGTAACCAGAAACTATCACAAAAATTCAAAATCAAAGCATTTTTACAGCCCAAAAAGTAACGATTAGGTAACACAAAAAAAATTGTTCTTTAAACACATCATTGTAAAATTAATAAATTCATAACTTCATAACTCTGCTCAACATTTAAAATCAATAGAAATGCATATATTTAATGACTTACTCTTACATGCATTTTCAATAATAATAAAAAAAAACACTTATTTTTAATTTGATTGGAAGGGTTTATTAAAATTACTAAACAATATTTTTACTTTATGGTTCATACATATATATTACGTGTATCACATATTGAAAAACGCTAAATAACATGATATGCATTTTTTATTTTATAATATTATAATGGATAATGTTACTTACGTTATACTCAAAGAGAAACATCCATCCGGTCCACATATTGTAGCTGATTTACAGTTAAAAAATGTTATATTTTTAAATGATTTAGTATTTTCTAAATCATTGACAAAATTATTCGTTGTTTAACGTGCAGACAACCTGCAAAAAGTTATCCGTCAATAATTTAATAACTGAACGTTTTGCTCATTATGAAAACGTTGGTTTTAAACTTACTGGCGTCAACGATAATACAGCACTGAACGTTTCTGCGTAATACTTGAAGCTGTAAATCAACAGCTTATATATTTCTATTATATAAGTATAATGACCATTTAATATTCAACAGATTTGTATTGAAATTATTTGAAGAAAAAAAAATACTACAGTAATACCTAGTACGTCAGTATTTTTTATATGCTAATAAAACAGGTAGGTAATAAAAATCTGACACTGGTAATATTATAATAACATATACCTAATGTATAGGTATTTCCCTTCGGTTATATACGTTCATTTACAAGAATTTTATTTGTTTTGAAATAATATTTCCTTCTTAATTTTATCAATATTGATACGAGATAAATCAATGCTATTTTTGGCTACAATCCACTAGATACAGATTTTTCAACATTACCTTACCATACAGGTATTTTTAACAACCTATTAAAATAACGTTATAGAGAAATAAAATAAATATAGGTAATAATATTTTAATATTACGAGTATGTACGTAGATAATAAATCCGCGAAAGTTGTACAGGATTATTTTTATTTATAAGCGATGAAACGTCTAGTAAGATGTAAATAGCCTTTATAGTTTATGCCTTATGGGTACGTACATTTTATAAATAAATTTAAATCTCGAAAATGTCGCATAAGTATTACAATTTATCTGCATTGTTAACTTATTAAATACCTATTAACTTTTGGAAACGTTATAAATATTTTTTTAAAACGTTGATGTTGATTTGATGTAAAGTTAGCGGGACTATTTCAAAAATTCGCACACAATATAAAGACAACAAATTATGGGACCTTTCCAACAAATCGTAATGAATAATTTTGGATGGTTTTTGATGTATTGATCGTTAGAGTGAACAACGCTTACTGAAAATTGTCCTAAAGTTTTTAACGTTCTAAAAAGGCTTCTCCCCTTGGCTATTAGAGAAAAAAATTATCCATGACACCTAATACGATTTCAGACCTTATCATTCAACCGTTCATCAACTACACCGAGTACTTAATTGGTACTATATCCACGTAATTAAAGAAGAAACATTGTGTAGCCGTAAATTTGGACGTATCTCAAGCGGTTTGATATGGTCTGGTTTAATTAAGATTAAAATAAACTTCTAACTGCGCCTTACTTTCTACTGATCAAATCGTATTTGAACGATCGCACATTCGTTGTGCGCCATAACTCGCTATAATTATAGGTACTCACACTAAATACTTCAATAAGTATCTCTACTCTAGCTGTAGTTTCCAAAGGCAGCGACATTGCTCCTTTTCTTTATAATGATTTACTCATGACATTTCTAAAATATTTTTTACCGGACTCGGTACTCATGCCGACAACATGGAAATCGTGGCTTCCGATAAAAATCGGATTTAATGAATCCAAGTTCTTTAAATGTTTCTTGTCATATTGTTCTTAATCTTCTATAATTTATATTTATTTATGCAAGACAGATTGCAGTTTAAGTAATATAATACTATATTATTACAATACCTACAATATAATATTTTATAGGTACTTCAATACCTATAATAATAGAAAAAAAAAATCGTCATCTTTTAAGACCCTATAAATCTCCGACGATATACGTCGTCATACTCAACAAATAATGATATGGAGGTATTATATAGACACCTATTATTAACAGATCATTTCAACTTAACGTTTAAATCTTGTTGAAAAATGTTAGGTCCATACAATAATTACTATGCTGCTTGGTTTCTGCGGATGTCAATAATAATTCGATTTAAGTCTCAAAGAGTTCATTTTATACATCTTCAAGCATTAAGAATAGGTAATTTAAACAATAAAATTTTTCTTTTTTGTTTATTTCATTAAAATGTAATATCATAACAGCCAAAACATATAAACTACTCTAAAAATTAAATATTTAACTTATGTAAATTCCCTTAAAATCATTTTATTATCTTACAAATTAGAACTATTTAGTGTTACCCGGGATATACTTTTAAGAGGCGAATTTAGTTAACCCCCAAAAATATTTGTATGTTTAAAAAAATTCATATTCACTACCATGCTAGTTCAATTAAAATTATATTTACTGTTGTATTAATATAAAACAGGTTTTTATGTAATAAAATGTAGTAATATTTTGTTGTACAACTTACTATATGTTTATTATTATTAATTGACGATTAAATAAAAGTGTACGAATCTAAAAAAATATAACTTACCTATCTCTATTACTGCTTTTATAAAGATTTACATACTTGTAACACACGCCATATTTTTTTACTGTAATTGACATAAAAGTTATACAGTAGCAAAATATTTTTAGGAGAATTTCAAATATTTTAAGGAAGTTTAAATTTGCTCACCATGACTATTAAGAAGGCAATCTGGTTTACCACAAGTTATTTATACAATATGGTAATTGGTAGATACTAGATAGTACCTGCAGTAAATACTCTTATAATAAAATAATTGAATGTATTTTTGATATTTCTCATTAACTGTATGAAAAACTTATGAGAAACCTTGTATTACATTTTCAAGCTTTAATACCAAAAGCTATAAACATTTTATAATATAAATAAAAAAATTAAAAATTACATTTCAAATTTAATAAAATAATTGTCTTTTTAGTATATAATTATAACAATTTATTTTAATAGATATTTTTATTCTTAATGATATAGTTAACAATTCACAAATCACAACAAATAATTTTTTTGATGTAATGAGCAACATTATGTCTTGTAAAACTACATATTGTGTAAGAAAGCTTGATCACATACATTTTGTTATAAAAATTAAATATTTGCATAGTACTAAATTATAGAGAGATCAAAATTACAATAGATAAATAAAATACAAAAAATGTATAAAATATAATAACTATATGGAAGTATTCACTGGCTATTGTAAATACATTAACAAAAAATTCATATTTCAATAAACACTATAAGAGTAGTAAAATTAAATCATAAAATAATAAGAATGTTAAAGTCCAAGTTGTTTCTCATTCAAAATTAGCCAGTCTTTATATTTTGATAACAGTATATCATCTGGTTGTACAATTCTCCATTCATTCACACAAAAAAGTCTATATGAATCATTACCGTACTTGCCAATTCCATACAACTCTATTGGGTATTTCCAATTTTTTGACAAGAAATCCGCTGCAGATAAAATATACATATTTGATGATTCTAACAAAAGAGAGATATTTTCATTTTTAATAATATTAACCTGTAAATCGTTTTATAGTTTTAACACGAGTATTTTCTAGTCCTAAATTTTCCACCGAACAAAGTAAATCTTGAGGATTTGCATTAATCACATCTTCTGGTGTTGGCCATTTCAGTAAAAATTCGTGAATTTTTGGAATTGCGAGTTTTGCTGAAAATTTTAAATATAAATATAAGTTTTATATGAGTTTTGATGAAATTTAAAGTGGATTTCGAATAAAAACAATTCGAAGAGTCATAAATAATAAGTCTAATTTATAATGATTAATGAGTAAATTCAAAAGCTTAAGATTATAATTCTACTAAGGTCTAAGACATATCTCTAAGTCTAATTTAGTATGTATCACATACTATATTATTATGTAATATTTTTCAATTAAATGATACAATATTATTTACCAGTTTTTACAATCATTCCTAAAAGCTTGGTTTAAATAACTCTCTTCTTTACACACTACATCTCACTAAAAATATTTGCAAACTCCAACATATCATTTTTGATTGTCCATCCTTGGTCTCTAAATGTATAAAATTTTGTTTAGTTCCCTTAATGCTTTCAATATCCTTTTCAATCTCTACTTTATCATCAACTCTAATTCCGTAATTGCTATAAAAATAATAATTATTTTTATATTGGAAGCTGGTTTTATTGTTTACTATGTTCTTGATAATATGTAATGTAATTATTGAGCTATAATAGTTTTGTACTGAAAGCTAATAAAAAAAAAAATATATACATTATTTACCGGTCACTTTTGTTAAAAATATAGTAGCAATCAACAGTTGCCATGGATTGTGAAACAAGTCTTCCTGTATAAGAGCATACGGAGATCTAGGTGGAATCCATTGATCACCACATGTTGATTCAAAGTATTGACTAGTTTGTATTGCATTTTGATTTTTTATAAGATTCTTGTAAACTAATCCAGGCCGTTTGCAATAAGTTGTCTTGCGGGTATTTGCATTCTTATTTGAATATAATGATGAACACTTCATTTTGGAAATTTTATCAATACATTTAAGTTTTCCATGGTTTGTTTCCATTTCTGGAATAAAATTTGAAATGTTTATAATATTTAAGAAATTAATTTTATATAATCAGTGTTAATAAGTAGATGTTACTTATTATAAAATAAATATAAATAAGCCAATTAACTACCTAAAAAAAATATATGTATTCACTGAAGTTGGAATAGTAAATTTGACACATAAGTAATGAAGCAGTTAACAGTTGAAGAAATCATTTATAACATGAAGTTTTCAAAGGGAATGAAAATTAAAAAGATAAGACCAGATATTTATAGAAATTTCTATAATAATTATATTAACAGCTGTATTTTCATTGAGAACTTACTAATCAATTATGGAAAGAAATATTGACATGTTCAAGACACACGCAATAGGTCCAATACCATTGAATAAAGAACATTTTATGTCAACAACATGAAATAGCCACTATAAAGTTAAGAAATATTATTACATATCAATGTTTAAGAATTAAAAAAAATAATACCAATATTTAGACTACTACAAGTATACAAATCATTATACTAATAGTACTTTACTAACTTTGCTTATTACTTGGTGTTTAATAAGTTTTATTCTTACAATAATTAACTTAATAATTATTATAAAGTTATAACTATAAAGTATAAATTTAGTCACTCTTGTACTAGTGTTTAGTACTATGAAGATAGGTACTAGGTAGTAGCCAGTAGGTACTAATGTCGGCATCGGCACTCGGCAACACAAAAAATGAGCGCTGTCCGTCATGTTCCAAGCGGCAGTTTTTGTAAAGTGGTTATCAAACTATTAAACAAAATGCCCGCTTTTTTTTAAATATCCTATTATTTATGAGAATAATTAATTTTAATTTTTTTTATAATACACGAATAAATAAATTATAATACAAATTATGTAAAAAAAAAATTTACAAATATTATTAATAGTTAAAAATAACTAAAATACTAGACAATATAATAATAATACATAATAACATACCTAATAACAATTTTTAATTAATATTTTGAATGTCGTTTTCACTGTTTTCGTCACTACCGAAATCGCTGTCATCACTCATCAGATGCAAATGTTAGAACGATTGGTTCCATCAAACTGTCTCTCAAAATCTCCTTCTCATTATCTTCATTTTGGATCTCCTCAACGTGTTGAACACATTGCTCCCAATCACTTTTCGTTACCGAATCCAATGCCTCATTTGTTGGCTTTTCGACGTCCACCATTTTAAATGTGTTATTTTTGTTTTAACTGGCAATGGTACGGTGGTAGTCGAATTATTTCATGACCCACCGAACTCGCGATTTCGTCTAATTCGTATCTTTTAAACGACGGTAGGTAATAACAATTTATGTCGTTCACGTAGTTCGGCTAATGTTTCTAACAGTAAAAAATCAACATTTTGTTTTTTTAGCCAATCCTGCCTATACAATTTTCGAGCATTATTTTTAGGATAATTATTATTTATATACATGAAATAATATGGTGTGTTATCCATAACAATAACGCATGGCTCGAGAAGTAGGTACCTAGTTATAACATTTCTACAAATCATGCTTTAAAAACATCCAAGTTCATTGAAGAATGTCAATAGAATTCCCTGCTTATTTTAACACCAGTTTTAACCCTTCAACGAATCCGTATCGAGATGATCTAGTGAGTGTAATAATGAGACAACTTCTTTTGCCAGTTGGTACTTTTAACCCTTCTGTTCCTTTGTCATTTTGCCAAATATAAGATCTTGAATGATTTTGATTTACCCAGGTCTCATCTAGGTAAATGACTGGTCGAGTATCCTTCATTTGGCGAAGTGTAGGTTACATATGTTGTGTAAAAATGTATTAAAAGCAATAATATCGTTACGCTCCATCAGCATTTTTCGACCATTATTACATTTTTTAAATAAAAACTTTAAGTTTTTTAAAAGTTTCCTGACAGACTGAACGATCCCTCATAATTTGGAATTTTTTTTTTTTTTAATTTCATTTAAAATTAATAATGCAGTTGGAAATTCATTTTTTTTATAAAATGAATACACTGTTCGACGAACTACCTACATCAGTATCAAAGTCATCTAGTTGCGTACATTTATTTTTTAATGTTTATAAGTTTTACGTGGCGATTTAAAAGATGGTTCTTCCTCGACATCAACTGGAGTTCTTTTAGCTTCTGTACATATTATGCGTTTTAGTGTTGAATCAGAAACGCCACAAGCTTCAGCGGCGACTTTTTGAACACTTTTAAAATAGTCTGGTGTTAAATCTTTTTTTTTAAAAGCATTTTAATAAAATTATATACATTAATAATAATTTTTTTGCTTTGGCTAAGAGTGTCACGATTTTTAAACAACGTTTAAAAAAAATCAGAATCTATATTAATGATAGGTACCTAAAACATAACAAAAACTCACAAATTAACAGACACATGGAACGTACAAAATATGTTTTAGGTAGTGATTAATAATTGATAGTTAATAATCACTTATGACACGAATATGAAGAACTATAAAGTATATGATCATAATACGCTATTGTCTCATACTTCATTGAACAATATGATATACCAGAATAGAAAATCGTAGATGCTTGTAATTGGTTTTGGCTATATTTTAAGTTAAAAATATGTAGGTATGCATATATATATATTACGATTAAATAAATATATATAAAGCTGTAAATTATTATAGAGTAGTTTGTAAATTTAGTATATTAAATTAAAAATTATTTAAATACTTATCAATTTATATTTTAAATTTGATATTTTATCTATTTGCACAAAAAAAAAAAAAAAAATGTTAAAAGTGCATTTCGACTTTTGAGTAGGTACTTATAAAATTAAATATTAATTCTATTAAAAAAATATAAAATATAATATTACTTGTAGTGTTCCGGAAGTTTATGCACTAAAAACTATCAAAACATGCCACTTAGACACTATAAAACACATATGCCTACATTTTTTTCAATTTATAAATATAAATAAAAAAACCTTTAAATTTTATAATTTTTATATTAATTCCATTGACTGATAATTAAAAATGTTATTTGATTAAATATCACAATTTAAAATCAAAAGCTTTGATTGGCATTGTGTGCCTGCACCATCAGATACAACTATAAAATATATATTACATTTTATATTTGATTTATTAATGACCTTTTAGTTTTAGAAGTAATTAATTTTAATAATTAGTTACATAATATTTTACTTTACAAAATTAATAATTATTATACAAAATTTTATTTTGTAGTTATATTTGTATTGGTAAGTATTATCCAAACGTGTAGCTGATCTACCAATTTTATGGTCGATTCAGTAAGAACATGTAAATGCATGAATTACTTTCATTATTACCTAGGTTCTAAGTACTTAATTACTTTTATTAATATTGTTATTATTTTGAGCTATAAAAAAATTACAACTGTACAAATATGCACAACAAATGAAAGTAACAATGTAATTAAAAAAAAAAAAAAAAAATACTAATTTTAAAAAGGCATGCTATAAGACTGGGAAGATCTCCTAGTAAAGCTAGATGGTATTTAGTACTTTTAGAAAGATATTGTCTAAGATATGATTTGAAGCATTTTTTTTTTTTTTAAGGATTTATCTTGGGGTTGGTGTTAAAGCTTAATTTGTTATGGAGTTTTTGGTAAGCAGTTAGTGATTTGGTTAATATAATTGATTTAGAGATCAGAGTGCAAGATGATTTTATTATGTAGGTAAATTAATTGAAATTTTTGAATTTGTTAAATGTTAATTGGAGTAGCAATGCTCAATTTTTGATCTCTGTAGTACTGATATAAGCAAAGTAATGCTTAACACATAAGAAGTCTAAGTTATTCTACTTAATTGAAATTATATACTCAATTACAATAATATATAAATCTTTTAATGTTATTGTTGAGCATATTTGTAATAATTTACAGTTTGTTTTCTTATACAGTTGCACATTTTAAATACTTAAATTTAAAAATGTATCTTGGTAAAAGTAAATTACTTTTTAACTTTTATATTGTGTATTAACAATAGGTATATAAACACACGTGCAAAATAATGTTCAGAGTAGTCAAATGTCTACCCTAACTACCCAGTACGTTCAGTTCATGTTATTATTTGTGTCTAAGAATTAATGTTCTTTTATATTTATAAATTTTAAATTTTAAATGAATTAGACACAATGCTAAAACTACATTGCAAATATTCTGTTGAGTTATACAATGTATAAGTGATATTTTATTATTTTAAGAGTTACATTAAACTTAAATATTTTAAATTTATCAAATTTATAGGTAGAAAAGTATAACTATACTTGGAAATGAAATAATTGTTTTTTATCTTTGTAATTATTATTCATACTTAACTTAAAATTACAAAATAAAAACAATTTACTTCAATTGAGGAAATAGATTTTTTTAGAGAATTAACCATTTGTATAAAAAATATAAAAATAATAATAATGCAGTTTATTGAATATAAGTTATAATAGGATAACAGTAAAACAATAATAAATTATTATATTAATTTTAAATCATACCACAGCAAAAGCTATTGGAAAACATAAATAAAAGATTTGTTAATTTATCTGGAAAATAATAATAATAAAAAAAAAAAACATAACAAAGAATTAATTTAAAATGTTAACATGATGAAATACATACTTTATAGATAATTACTTATTATTATGTGTCTTGGGCATCTTGTTTTTCCACCATGACAAAATCATTAACACTGTGTGACTGCAGGCTACTTGATTCTGTATCAGTTGAAGAGGAATCTTCAGAAACCCTATTTACAAATTTGAAAACAAAATAAAATAATAAGATTTTTATAAAATTATTAGAAACATTTTATGACATTTTCTATAAGCATGCATTGAAAAAAACATTTTTCAAAGTTAGTAAACTAAAATATTAATTAAAAATTGTATATATTTGTATTTAAGTCTTATATCAAATTCTAATAAAAATTATTATTAAAAAAAAAATATATTTTTATAATATTCACTGTGTGTTTTTTATTATTATGTACAAGTATAACAACTTTAGTACAAGTGTATGTAAATGACTCAGTAGTTACTCAGTAGTAATAAGTTGTTGCGATATTAGTGATTGTTTAACATTGTGTTAACATTTTAACTATGTGATATAATGTCACTGTTAAAACATACTTTAGTTTAAACATAATCTTATTAAATTGATTCAATGCCATTGTTGAATTTTATTCTGTTATTAGACAACCCCAATATCACATATACTTGCTATTAGAGATAAGTTTTAATTTTTTAATACAAAACAAAGCTTTAAAATAGTTTTTATAGGGTAGCAAAATATACATATTAATTTAAACTAATAAAAATATCCAATTATCAAATAGACATCTCCAAAAGAACAAAAATTTAAATTTAAAATTACCAACAAGCAATGGTACAAAAAAAAAAAAAAATGTTCCTTGGCCTTTTTTTTTTTTATTTAATTGCTTATAAACCGATAAGGGAAATAGTACGTAACATGAATGCATATTTTATATATTAAAAATTTAAAAATCTTATCACAGTTGATATTTTTAAGATTAAGGTAACCTTAATTATCATTTAAATTCCAGTTTATGACCTAAAATAATTTTGTAAAATGTACATATAAAATTGTCTACTTTGGATTTTCAAATTTCCCAGATTCTGAAACTAATAAAGTGTTGTCATGTTCAAATGTTTCAGTTTCAGGAACCTTT